TCAAAGAGCTCCACGATTTTATCAGTAAATAAGTCTATATTTGAACCTGGTGATCTGTAGACACAACTAATTACTGTATTTTTTAGAGTTTTCATTTAATATCTCAACAGTGATTATTTCCATTACACCATGAGTAGCTATTGACATTCCTAATTTTGGTTTTTAGATTAGTATTAACAAATAGCGCAACTCTCCCACGTTTATTACTTTTGTTCTTATGGTATGTTCATAACCTAAATGCAAATAATTTCTAATTATAATAACAAATTAATAATAGTTTTACATCTAAAAATTGTATTTTATTCTTTTTATCAGTTTTCCTCATTCAGCAACCTATTAAATTTCTGTTTTGTTATGTTTTATAGCTATAACCAAGTTTATTAATGTGTCAGAAATCCACATTTTTTTCAGTCAGTGTTTAATATAGCTGACAAAATCAATTGTGAAAATATTTATGATGTGCTTCTTTTTTTAATTTAGCATATTTTAAAAATCCTTGATTTTATGAAAAGACCCTCTTGATCCAATAGAAAAACCTGTTTTTTTAAGAAAATGGCTGCTTATCAATTAATCGTTAGTCAATCTATAAGATAAATCAACTTCAGACAACTTCACATTAATCGATAACTTGCATCCCTAATTTAAACAGGAATTAAATTAATTTATATCTACTTACATTTATGTAACTAAGTGTTCAATGATTTGCCCGGTTAATCGATTAATGGATTAATCGAAAAAAAAATTGACATATCAATCGATTATTAAAAATTCGTTAGTTGCAGCCCTAAAACCAACTACACGATTTACCAACATAAAACACAAAATGAAACTATTGAAACAAGGAAGAAAGCTGAAGGGATCTAATGTCTACCTGAATGAGCATTAAACCTAAAATAAAAAAATAAAATAAAAATAAAAACCGCAGATATAGCTAAAAAGGCAAGAGAACTCAGAAAACAAGGGAAAATATAAAATACATGGACAAAAAACTGTAAAGTAATTACTAAATTGAAAGGAACCCCTGAGGAGGCCAAGGTGGCGGTCATTCGAAACATCAAGGAGCTGGAAAAATACTGAAGCAGACCAAACATGACAAGGATTGATGAGATGAAACGACAAAAAATTTGACTAAATATGGTGAAGACTCAGAGTCTAAAATATATGATATTGATACTGTGATTGATACAGATTTTTTCCCAATGAACAAAGACTGTGATTACTGTATAATGAGCAATTCAAAAATATCAATATGGTAAATGGAGGTTTCACTATTATTCATTTTAATAGTAGAAGCATTAACTGAAATTTAACAAAAATAACCAATTATTTAAAACCATTGAACAGACATTTTAGTATAATTGCAGTCTCTGAAACCTGGCTCAATGATGAAAATATAACTGACCATCCGTCCGTTTTCTGCCACCTATCTGGGATCGGGTCGCGGGGGCAGCAGCCCAAGCAGAGAGACCCAGACTTCCCTCTCCCCAGCCACCTGGGCAAGCTCGTCCGGGGAAATCCCAAGGCATTCCCAGACCAGCCGAGAAACATAGTCCCTCCAGCGTGTCCTGGGTCTTCCTCGGGGCCTCCTCCCAGTGGGACGTGCCCGGAACACCTCACCAGGGAGGCGTCCAGGAAGCATCCTAACCAGATGCCTGAGCCACCTCAACTGGCTCCTCTCGACTTGGAGGAGCAGCGACTCTACTCTGAGTCCCTCCCGGATGACTGAGCTTCTCACCCTATCTCTAAGGGAGAGCCCAGACACCCTGCGAAGAAAGCTCATTTCAGCCGCTTGTATCCGTGATCTCGTTCTTTCAGTCACTACCCAAAGTTCGTGACCATAGATGAGGGTAGGAACGTAGACCAAGCGATAAACCGAGAACTTTGCCTTCTGGCTCAGCTCCCGCTTCACCACGACAGACCGGTACAGCGCTCTCATCACTGCAGACGCAGCACTAATCCGCCTGTCAATCTCCTGCTCCATTCTTCCCTCATTCGTGAACAAGACCCCGAGATACTGTACTTGAACTCCTCCACTTGGGGCAGGACCTCCTCCCCGACCCGGAGAAGGCACCTACCGGTTTCCGGCTCAAGACCGTGGTCTCAGATTTGGAGGCACTGATCCTCACCCCGGACGCTTCACACTCGGCTGCGAACCGCTCCAGCAAGAGCTGGAAATCACTATTATGCATTATGATGGTCAGTTACTACCTTGCCGGTAGTAACTGGTTTGCCACCAACACTGTTTATTGTGGGGATGGTGCGCCGCTGACCTCAGCTCAGGACGTTGTGGGTCGGTGGGCAGAATACTTCAAAGACCTCCTCAATCTCACCGACACGTCTTCCCATGAGGAAGCAGAGCCTGAAAACCCTGGGTTGGACTCTCTAATCTCTGGTGCTGAGGTCACTGAAGTGGTTAAAAAGCTCCTTGGTGGCAAGGCGCCGGGGATGGATGAGATTCACCCAGAGTTCCTTAAGGCTCTGGATGTTGTGGGGTAACGTTGGTTGATGCGACTGTACAATATTGCTTTGACATCGGGGGCAGTTCGTGACCCCGAAAATTTTATGGACAGATTGGCAGACCAAGGTGGTGGTCTCCTTATTTAAAAAGGGGGACTGTAGAGTGTGTTCCATCTAAGGTGGATCACACTTCTAAGCCAACCTGGTAAGGTCTGTTTAGGAGTCCTGGAGAGGAGGGTCCTTCAAATAGTCAAATCTCAGATTCAGGAAGAGCAGTGTGGTTTTCGTCCTGGTCGTGGAACAGCGGACCAGCTCTACACCCTCAGCAGGGTCCTGGAGGGTGCATGGGAGTTCGCCCAACCAGTCTACATGTGTTTTGTGGACCAGAAGACAGCGTTCGACTGTGTCCCTCGGGGACTCCTTTGGGGGGTGCTCCTGGAGTAAGGGGTACCAGGCCCGTTGGTACGGGCTGTTAGGTCCCTGTATGACCGGTGCCAGAGCTTGGTCCGCATTGCCAGTAATAAGTCAGATTCGTTTCCAGTGAGAGTTGGACTCTGCCAAGGTTGCCCTTTGTCACCAATTCTGTTCATAAATTTTATGGACAGAATTTCTAGGTGCAGCCGAGATGTTGAGGGGATCCGTTCTGGTGAACTTAGGATCGCATCTCTGCTTTTTGCAGATTATGTGGTCCTATTGGCTTCCTCAGATCGTGATCTCCAGCTCTCACTGGAGTGATTCACAGCCAGTGTAAAACAGCCGGGATGAGGCTTTGTCTAAATCCGAGACCATGGTCTTGAGCCGGAAAAGGGTAGGGTGCCTTCTCCGGGTTGGGGAGGAGGTCCTGCCCCAAGTGGAGGAGTTTAAGTATCTCGGGGTCTTGTTCATGAATGAGGGAAGAATAGAGCAGGAGATGGACAGGCGGATTGGTGCTGCGTCTGCAGTGATGCGGGTGCTGTACTGATTTGTTGTGGTGAAGCGAGAGCAGAGCCAGAAGGTAAAGCTCTTGGTTTACCAGTCGGTCTACGTTCCTACCCTCATCTATGGTCACAAGCTTTGGGTAGTGACTGAAAGAACGAGATAGCAGATACAAGCGGCCAAAAGGAGTTTCCTTCGCAGGGTGTCTGGGCTCTCTCTTAGAGAAGTGAGAAGCTTGGTCATCCAGGAGGGACTCAGAGTAGAGCCGCTGCTCCTCCACGTCGAGAGGAGCCAGTTGAGGTTGCTCAGGCATCTGGTTAAGATGCCTCCTGGTGAGGTGTTCTGGGCATGTCCCACTGGGAGGAGGCCCAGAGGGACACGCTGGAGGGACAATGTTTCTTGGCTGGCCTGGGAACACCTTGGGATTTCCCTAGAGGAGCTGGCCCAAGTGGTTCGCGACCCGACCCCCTTTAAGGTGTCACTAGAAAAACTCAGGTTGAATTTCAACCTATTTTCATTGAGGTGTCTCTTCAAAACGCATCGACAAAAATTTACAACTTGAAGTCAAAGCTGTAGCTAACTACCTGACGTCAACACGCTTTCTTGAAATTCATAGAAATAATGAAGCAGGAGGAAATACCAAGCAAATGCTCAGAGCAAACTTGCAAAATCTGGTCACGGCAGTTTGGTAAGAAAATGGCAGCAGCTGTTTATGAAATGTCAACATCCTTACATTGACGAAAAATCTTTTACATACAATAACCTTTGAACTAAAAAAATCTAAAAATGATTCAAATCTCTAGTGGTGTATTTTCATGGTCAAGGATATAATGGAAGGAGAAGTGTACGAATCATACCTTTGGTTGTAAAACTGAATTGTTGGTGAATGACATTAAATACATCACATCACCAATGTATTAACACAAAAAGAGCTCTGGGACTCTAGGTTTTTCCCACTGAATGATGTCAGCATTTCACAACACTTTAGGAGTAGCCACACCTGAAAGGATTTACATTGACAGCTTCATTCACTGTAGAAGTGACAATAATAACTTTACATCTTCAATCTTAGATTCCAAAACTCATCTGCTTCCTACGGATCATGCCTCCATCCAGGTGTAGGTCTGTGGAGCAGCGACGGAAGATGAAGGCAGAATATATGAAGACTGTAAGAGCAACAGAAACAGCAGAGGCTGCTGCAAGTCGCCGTGCTAAAGACAGAGAAAATAAAAACAAAAAGAGAATCGAGGACACACCAGAAACCACTGCAGCCCGACGCGCTGCAGACAGAGATTACAAGAAAAAACTGAAAAGAGAGGAGGCACCAGAGGCCGCTGCAGCCCGCCGAGCTGCAGACAGAGATTACAAGCAAAAACTGAGAAGAGAGGAGACACCAGGGGCCGCTGCAGCCCGACGAGCTGCAGACAGAGATTACAAGCAAAAACAGAGAAGAGAGGAGCCACCACAGATTGCTGCAGCCCGCCGAGCTGTAGACAGAGGTTACAAGCAAAAATTGAGAACAGAGGAGGCACCAGAGGCCGCTGCAGCCCGCCGAGCTGCAGACAGAGTTTATAAGCAAAAACTGAGAGCAGAGGAGGCACCAGAGGCCGCTGCANAGGCCGCTGCAGCCCGCCGAGCTGCAGACAGAGTTTATAAGCAAAAACTGAGAGCAGAGGAGGCACCAGAGGCCGCTGCAGCCCGCCGAGCTGCAAACAGAGTTTACAAGCAAAGACTGAGAACAGGGGAGGCGCCAGAGGCCGCTGCAGCCCGCCGAACTTTAGACAGAGTTTACAAGCAGATACTGAGAATGGAGAAGGCACCATAGGCCGCTGAAGCCCGCCGAACTGCAGACAGAGGTTACAAGCAAAAACAGAACAGAGGAGGCACCAGAGGCTACTACAAAACGCCAAGCAACTATGAAAGATACAGCTCAAAACTGCAGGGGAATGGAACAAAGAGAAAAATTACTCTCGATGAGTGTGCTACTGTTTTCATGTCCAAGAAGGACCTACATACCCCTGCTGTTCCTGCCACCGACTTCACTACAGACCTGCAGTTCAACAAATGAAGGTGTGTATATATATGTTTTATGACTTACTTCATAATGGATAATTCAATGTAGTATCACCGTAGTAAATATTTTATTAGAATTTCTTCAGGCAAAATTTTGTGTTGTCAGTTTTAATAGGTATTTTGACCGTAATGTTGACATTTGCAACTATATTCCTCAGATTTAAAATTTTATTTTGTCTTTGTACTTTCATTAAGGTTGCAAAATATAAATCCAACCAGGCCATAAATAACATAATGGAGGCCAGCAGTGATGTAACTTAACTACTCATGACAAATCTTGGGTATGCAAAACCTGCCACAGTGCGCTGAAGCAAGGAAGAATCCCTACCCAATCATGGGCCACTGGACTTGAACTTGACTCATACCACCAGAGCTAGCAGAACTGAGGCCTCTGGAGCTGAGACTGATAAGTCAGAGGATCCCCTTCATGAAGCTTGTTGGGTTGCCAAAAGGGGGGCAGAAGGCTATCGATGGCAGTGCAGTAAATGTGCTTTCTAAGCTGCAGCCAGTCAGTTTTCTTCTACCACAGCTACCAAACACAACTGAAGTAATGCCACTAAAGCTTTAAAAAACACAGCTACAAGGGACACTACATGCATGAGTACATTCGCCCTAAAGTCATGGGGGCACTGCAGTGGCTACAACAAAACAACCCACTTTACAAGGACATTACCATCTGCACTGACTGGGAACGCCAGTGGGAAGATGACGACCCAGAACTCTGGGAGGCAATAGGAAAAGCTGGGCATGAAGAAATGGAAGTGGATCGCAATGATGACACAACTACAGTATCTGATGCCGCCACTACATTATATGTATCCCCAGCCCCCCAGTCACCTCTGCCCACTGTTGATGACTACACTGTTTTGAGGCACTCAGCAGAAAAGCAGAAGTTGAGGATTAACGTGATGGAGACTCATGTGGTAACTAATACAGTGTAAAACTCATTTCTAGGTTTTCCAGGGACATTGATTACCTCCTTGCTGCTCAGTATGCGGTAGAGGCCAAACAAGTGTCAGATGACATAGAGATCTCACACCTTCCAACACCAAAACGTCCATGCTGGCCTCATGAAGAACAAAGACAATGTCCAGGCAATGATTCGAACTGATGCAACTTACAAGTTCATGAAGAACAAAGATAATGTCCAGGCAATGATTTGCACTGATGCAGCTTACAAGTTCATAAAGAACCTGTGAGGATTGCCAGCATACTGGAACACAGTTTTGTTGGACTTGATGGCCAGACAGAATTCCAACATGGTTTCTGACCCAGTCAGTTGCTGACATGCAATGGCCTGAAATCATACAGTGTATTGCCCACCAGTATGGGAAACATCTAACAGCAGACGATGTAAAGAACATGTCATGGGAGGAAAAATGCAACTGGTTACGCTCAAATTCTGTAACAGCTGCCCATCAGTTCAAACACTGCCTGGATTTATTTTTCAAGAATTTTTACAAGGGACAGCCAATCCCATTGGTTAACTACAGGACTACATGATCAGGATAAAGTTCCTGGTCAGAGGGTCTCCTCATGGTCCCACCATTCTCTGGGTGAAAGACACACCAAAGCTGAATGTCAACAGCGATGCAGAAGTAGTCAACTTGATTAACAAATACCAAACCTGTGCCATATCAGGAGAAGACCTGAGAAAACCTTCCTGTCTGTACAAAAACATGTCCACTCTGTCACTTGCCGAAAAGGTGAATCTTGCAGGTTCAAGTTTCCACATCCCCCAAGTAGTGAGACACTGATGGCCAGGCAGTCAGACGAGGACTCTGAGCAAGTAGACACCGCTCTCCAGATAAAAGCAGAACTTTTTAACCAAGTGCACAAAGTCATGTCAGACAAGGATATTCCTGAAGACATAAGCTATGACACCTTTCTACAAAAAGCTCAGGTGCATCCTCAGTTGTATCAGGAAATGCTGAAGCTGATGAAGTCAGACACCAGTATTGTGTTGAGACGTCAGCCATCTGAACGATGGATCAACTATTACAACCCCAAGATTCTTCAAACATGGGGAGCCAACATGGACCTGCAGTTCATCACAGATCCATACTCCTGCATCATGTATGTCACCAGCTACTTGACAAAGAGCGTAAGAGCCATGAGCAAGCTCCTGAAAAAGGTTGCAGAAGAAAACCGAGACAACGACCTGGAGTGTGAGCTGAGAAAAGTGGGACCGTCTTTTCTCAACAACAGGAAAGTCAGCGCCCAAGAAGCTGCCTACAGAATGCTTTCCCTGCCTTTGAAAAGGGCCTGCAGGAAAGTGATCTTTGTCAACACAGTGCCAAAAGACAAGCAAGTTTCCATGTTGAAGCCACAGAATCAGCTTCAGGAAATGGATGATGATGGAAACATCTGCACTTCACCACTTGACAGATATTCCACCAGACCAGGTGAGCTTGAGAAGATATCCTTGGTGGAGTTCTCAGCCACCTACACCACTGGAGCAAAAGATGGGCCAGATGAATTATCCGACCACATTCCTGATGTGCTAAATGATGAAGATAATGATCTCAATGACAAACGTGATGGAAGCAATGACAGATATCCCGCTGCCATCACGTTGAAGAATGGACTGGGACATATGAAGAAGTGAAAGCGTCATTGCATCATTAGGTGAGATTAAGTTTACATTTATTTCAGTTTCCTTATGCACATTCCTTCGTGTAAAGTTTGAGGTATTTATTTTCATTTTATATTTATATGTATATCAAATGTCTTTTTGAAGGTTTCACCAAAAAAAAAAAAACAAAGAGGGAGAAGACAAGTACAGGAATCTCCTTATGTTGTACTTCCCATGGCATAATGAACAACTGGACCTGAGAGGTGACTTTTATTTGAGGCTTACTATGACCAGGTTAAAGACCATGTCAAAGAAAATGAAACCATGTTTAGCAGGGGTCAACATAACCATTGTTTAGGTTGTCTGAGAAAACCTATTTTTGTTTCGGACACCAGATCCCGCCTCCCTGTTGTCCGGTGGACAACCAAGAAAAAAACAACCTAGATCAAAGTTTTCTGCCGCGGGTGTTCGTCATTGTAAAAATGAAAAAGGGAGAAAAAGCTTGTTAAAGTCGTCTAGGGATTAAACTGATGGTTCTTTCACCCAATAAAGAGAACCACAGTCAATGTTTTACCCAATCAGAACAGAGCAGGATGGATCGTGCCATCTGACTGACAGCGGCACAAAAAAAAAACTGTTTCAGTATTCTGCCTACCCTAACCACCTATGGAACTCTACTGGACCATGTTTACACCAGAAACATTTATGTTACAGATGTCAAAGTTCTTGACACATTTTTTCTGACCACGATAGTGTAAATATTATTTTGAAGATTTAAACTGTAATCTTAACGTTTTATATGATACCTTCACTGTATGGGCACAGAGTATGTCTGGTTATATGTAGAATGATACTGTGTTATGACAATGGGCCTCATGCAAGAACATGTTTGTATTCATATTCTAAATTTCTCTTACTTTTGTTCGAACGAAGGGTTCGTACGAACATGTCACGTCAGATTCAACAAACTCTTCTATCTTCAGGAAAAGTGCGTAAATGAGCTGCGTAAATTCACCTGTTCATATCCAGCTGCTCGTGCACGCGAGAGGAGATTAGCATAATTACCACCCCAAAAACACCATATAAGGCTATGTTTCCTGCCTCAGCTATCAGGAAGTGTCCATTCATGAAAATGGCAGCGATAATTAAAAAAATAAAAACTTTACAAGTTCAGAGATTGAAGTC